GGCAATTAGGGTTTCACATTAATTCTAATATGTTTTGACTTTTGTAGTTTTAGAAAATTATAAAATATATATATTAAAAAATATTAATAATAATCGGAAATAACCAGAATAATTTCGGATCGGAAATCGGAATTCCAAAATTATGTTATGTAACTTCGATTCCGATCCGATTTTTTCGGAATTTTCAAAAATCAGAATTTTGGAATTCAGAATTGAAAAAATCATTCAAAAATCAGAATTTTTCGGATCGGATTCGGCGGAAATCGAAAATTCCGTTCCAATTTCCACCCCTAGTCACCACACTAAGCAACAACTCTATTAAACACTAATTAATATTCAGAAATTATATTAATATTTAAACAACATATAGGGCATACCTTGAGATAATGACACTTTGGGTCCTTATACTATACACGAAAATTGATTTTAGTCCTTATATAATTGTCTCCACCATTTTAATTCTCAAACAAACCACTTTTTGACAATTTCAGTCGGCCTTCTGAATTGGCGGTTAGCTTGGACGAGAAAAACACGTGTGGAGCACGTGAGCATGTCGAAAATAAAATTTTCAGCCTCATCCTTACCACTATTTTTTATTAACCCCAATTTCACTTATTCTTACAATTATGTCAAAAAAATATCAAATTTTCATACTTTTAAACGATCAACAAATACTTTCCACATTCATTTCCTCTCATTTTTCTTGTGCTTCAACTCATTGTCAAACATGAAAATTTACCCCTCTTTTTTTCATGTTTTATGTTGCACGATTATCTAGTTAATACCAATAAGATTTGAAAATCTTGTCAAAATAAAGGTAAGATCTGAAGGTGTACAATTAGTGAATGAACAAATGATCCGATGAACTTGGAATACTGATTGGAGATAGTCGTGATTACAAACTATCTTTTAGCCTTGTAATTTTCGAATTTCTTTTCTGGCTTCACTCATTTGGATCAGAGAAAGAATTATTTATGGAAAATCAATTTTCTCAATTAGTTCTTCAAAATAAACCTAAACAAAACCATGAGCCAACGGAAATCAGTTTTGATGAAAAAAACTATATACAACAAGATTATTTGATTGAGATTGGTCATTTAGCAATTCTTTTGACTTTTTTTTCTCCCTCATACAGGTTAACACGTACCAACAACAAAACAAGTAATTTTGAAAAAAAATAGGGATTCGAAGTTCAAAAACACCTTTATATCTGGGCTCACATCAAAAACCTCAACCCACAAGAAAAAATACTTTTAATGGTGGAAAGTAAGAATTTTAAAGAAATTAGGGGTTGGCAACCAAATTGAATTAAAGAAATCTTGTTGTTTAAGATTGAATTCATTCGTCAATCCACAAGCCATATGTCAAATGAAAGAAGAATTCAAACTCATTTTGTTCGGTAGTTACCTTTGCATTTATATCTTGCCGACTTTTATACACTATCTTCAAAGTATTGGAATTTTATATATTTAGGATAAAATTGTAGAAACATAGTGAAATTGGGTTAAACAAAAAATGGTTAGAAGGAAAATTGAAAGGGTAATTTTTGTGACATGTTAACGTGCCCCACACATGATTTTCCCATCCAAACTAACCCCCAATTCTGACGACGGACCGAAATTGTTAAAAACTGGTTTGTTTGAGGACTAAAACTGTGAACACAATTATATAAAGACTAAAACCAATTTTGGTGTATAGTATAAGGACCATAAGTGTAATTATCCTGACATACTTTTCACTAAACAATAATTGTAGGGAGAACTACACTTTTGGTCCCTCATGTTTGGTCTAATTTCATTTTTGGTACCTGTTGTTCAAAAGTGAAAAAAATTCACCTCAAAAGTTCAATTATAAACATTTCGGTCCACTCCGTCACATGCCAGTTAGCAAGTAACGAAAATCACTATTTTGGGGTCAAAATTGAAATGTAAAATTATTTTGGGGCTAGAAAATAATTATAAATGTGGAGTACTATTTGTAATTAATTTTTTAAAATAATATTATATATAAATAAAAAGAAATTGAACAATATTTAATTTTCACAAACAAAATACAAAAACATATATTAAATATAAATACATTAGAAAAAATAAAATGAATAAATGTAAATAAATTTATTACGAGGTCAGTGATTTTCTTTGCGTCGTCGTTCTCATCACAGCCCAATTCATATACGGGTGTTGAGAATGACATGACCATGACATTCGTTTCCACTCTCGCTAGAATCGATACATGAGGATCGAAATTTCCTGAAGTGCTGCCATCTTTCTTATGTTTTCTTCCCTTGAGTGTATTTTTTATATTTTGAGTATTGGTGTTAATTGTTTATGTTGCGTATTAACTCTTGTTGCAAATAATCACTACATGTTAACTTGTACATTCGATTTCAGTAAATATCACGATAACTGTTTGGATCGATGGCCGGACATTCTCATTTCCTAGGTGCAATCTATTTCGAGGTCATATATATATATATATATATATATATATATATATATATATATATATATATATATATATATTACAAGGTCATAAAGAGTCAAATCGTTTTTCACGACTCATAAAATAGGGAAAACCCTGTTTGATATTCGATTTTAAACTTTTTCTTCAAAGTTCGGGATAATTACAGTTTTGATCCCCCAAGTTTGCACGTTTTTCACTTTTGGTCCCCCATTTATCGCCGTCAACAAAATACACACTAATGTTGTCACATTTTAACACATTTAGTCCCTCCGTCTGTTTGACCGTTAAGAAGTAACAGTCAACGGTTGAATTATGGTTGAATTTGGGTTTTTCTTTGAGAAATTGCAATAAGACCCCTGTATTCTTTCAAAATATTCTAAAAACCCCTAAAAATTTATTTAACCATAATTTAACCCCAATTTCATCAATTAACCAATGACCGCGATTTTTCAAAATCGGGTAGTCCGACGTTGACTTTCTTTTTAACTTGGTTGACTCTTTTTTCGATTCATCTTTTTTTGCCGTTGTTGACGGTGTTGAATGTCGGGTTAACAACGTTGACATTTTTTTTTTCTTGATTTTTATTTAAATTGTTGAGTAGTGGGAAAATATTACTTAAAAAAAAAGTCAAAGCTGATAATCAGCGAGAAAAATAATATCATTAAAGAAGTCAAAATAAAAGAACAAACGAAAAAGTCAACGCAACTCAATGACGGAAAAATTTTAAGACTAAAAAAGGAGATAAAAATTAACAGCCGGTGTTAGCCCCAAAAACCATTGTACTAGTGTGGTAATCTCATTTCCATGTTACTCCGCACATGCCTAATTCATCTTCTTCATATTTTTTTGGGAAGACATTTGGGATGCACTGGTGTTTCTACGAAAAAAAAATGAGGGGAAGAAATTATGGATTTTAGAATTTTTTAAATTGTATTTAGGCCCCAGAATTCTAGATAAAAGCTTTGTTAGAAGTTTGTAATTTTAATATTACGATACTAGATATTAATATAGTATTATTATTGTTTTATACAATAAGAATATTGTGTTGATCGGAAAATAAGTCACATGAAAAAGTTTACTAAAAAAAAAAAAAAAGTCAACATTGTTAACCGAGAATACAATGTCGGTGAACAGCGTAAAAAACGGTATTAAAAAAATTCATTGTCGAAAAAAAAGTAAAAAAAAAAAATCAACGGCGGTTAACAATCAGTGGTAATGGTGGTAAAAATCGGGGTCGTTTGTCAAAATTGATTAAATGATGAAATTGGAGTTAAATTAGGGTTGGATAATAATTTAGGGGTTTTAAGAATATTTTAAAAGAATGCAGGGGTCTGAGTGCAATTTTCTCAACGAAAAATCGTCAATTCAGCCCTAATTCAACAGTTGACTGTTACATCTTGACGGTCAAACAGACGGATGGAATAAATGTGTTAAAATGTGACAACATTAATGTGTATTTTGTTGACGGCGATAAATGGGGGACTAAAAGTGAAAACGTACAAACTTGGGGGACCAAAACTGTAATTATCCATCTGAGTTCAGTATCTATTTAGATTTTTAATTACGGGGTTTTTAATATTTTGGCAATTTGGTGCCTATCGGTTTATTGAACTATCATTTTTTCTTACCTTACTTTATTAATATTTAATATTAAGATTTACGCATATAAATATACTCTTTATTTGAATAGTATAAATTTGTATACCAAAACATAAAATAATAGATGAAAAAATTAACTATTTTTTAGGGAAAATTACATTTTATGTCCCTAAACTTTACCACTAAAGTAATTTTTGTCCCCAAAATTTTGTATTCACGAAATATGTCCTCAAACTTGCCACTTTTTAACAGTTTGTGTTCCGCCGTTAACTTCGTGAGTCAGATTGTCACGTGGGGCGCACGTGATGCAGACGTGGCTGTCAAATGTTGAGCTGGTACACAAATATGTTGATCTAAACCCAATTCCGAAATTTCCCAGATCCCCAATTTTCACTTCACTCTTCACACCCAAAACCCTAGCCATCAAATCTGAAAATTTCTTTCAATCCTGTAAACACACTCCCAAATTTACAATCAGGTCTTCAATGTTGTTCGAAATCATACGGAGTTCAAAGTCATAAACCCATAAGAAATCCCAAATTCCCAAAACCGAAGTTCAAAGATAATAACTTTGAAGAAACTTGCTAAAATTGGAGATTTGTGATGCTTCCTTTCCACAAATGTTCGATTATTTGCAAAATTAGGATTAGGCGACCTTGTTGATGCCGAATTTCACCTCAATTTGAGGATTTCTACGGGGAATTTAGGGTAGGGTATCTGATCAGGTTCAGGTTCAGTGAATTGGGGTAATGAGAAATTAACGATTTCATAATTAAAATAGGGGAGAGAATGACGTGTAACTCCACGTCATATTCAATCGGCGAAATCGCCGTATAGGGCAGTGGCGGATCCAGCATAAAAACTTAGGGTATGCCGCATAGAAATTTTTTTTAAAGAATAACAATGTTTCAATTACAACTCAGATTAAAAATTTATTTCTAGTCCAACCGTAAATGCATTCTCCTCTTACTCATGGCTTGAAAACGCTTGATAATATCTAGATCATCGACTGTAATAAACACTTCTTTTTCCACAAATGCCACCAAGCAATCATTAAGCCATGAATTTGCCATTCGATTTCTCAACTCATTCTTCACATATTTCATGCCAGAAAATACTCGCTCAACACTTGCCGTGGCCACCGGTAATGACAAAGCTAGCTTCAAAAGTGTGTACACAAATCCAAATGTCTTGTGTTTTTTTGTACGAACAAGAGTCCTACATAGATCCGAAATACCCTTCAACTTGGAAAAATTATCGTCCATCTTGACACACTCAATATAAGTCTCAAGTTGGCTAGACAACTCCTTATCACTAACATTCTCAAAGTCATTTGGGTAGAATCTTGCCAACCTCACAAGTGATTTAATGTCAAAATCTTGAAAAGAAGAATAAGGATTCAAGCATGCTACACAATTCAACAACTCAACATTTTCCGGTGTAAATCGATCACCCAACTCTTTCATTATAAAATCTATGACATGTAAAAAGCAATCATTCTTGAAATAATTGAGATTTGTCAATAACGGAGCTAGTCTTTTGGATTTATTACCTTTTACATACCTTGACTCCATGTTGGGCACATCAATTTCAAGATTACCACAAGAATCCACCACTTTTTCATAAAATGCATCCCACCCATTATCTCTCATTTGTTGAAGCCTTTTCTTACTTACTTGGACAAGTTGCATGGCGGTAACAATATCTTGATCTCCCTTTTGTAATGCTTGAGACAAATCATTTGTCAACGACAAAACCTCAACTATTAAGTGCAACATAAAAACAAAACCAAAAGTTTGCATGACAAATAATAAACTTTTTGGTTCACCCTTTGAATATCTATCACTTTTCAAATCTTCAAGCACTTCAATAATAGGAGTAAACAAATCAATCAACCTACTAAGAGTCCGAAAGTGAGATCCCCACCGTGTATCACCCGCTCTTGCAATAGACAACTCTTGGTTCAAACCGGTACCCGTTTCCACCAACTCATCCTCAATTAGATTTGCAAAATGAGCAACTTGTTTTTTTCGAAGTAAAGATTGTCGTTTGTTAGAAAACCGTAGAAAGTTTACAATACGAGACACTTCAAGGAAAAACCAATCAACATCTTCATGCTTCCGAGCCATTGAAACAAGAGCCAATTGAAGTTGGTGAGCAAAACAATGCACATAATAGGCTTGTGGATTCTCTTTTTGAATCAAGGTTTTCAATCCACCAAATTGACCTTTCATGTTACTTGCTCCATCATATCCTTGTCCTCGAATTTTAGATATACACAATCCAAATCCCGACAACAAAGTTTCAAGAGCATCTTTAAGCGCTTTCGCACTTGTATCCTCAACATGAACAATGCCAATAAATCGTTCGACAATAAATCCCCTATCATCAATAAAACGCACAACTACTGCCATTTGTTCTTTACCAGAGCAATCACCGGACTCATCAACAAGAACACTAAAGAAACCATCTCCAATTTCTTCAACTATTTTTTTAACAGTTTCAACGGCACATGCATTTGCAAGTTCTTTTTGAATAATAGGAGAAGTCATCTTCCAATTTCCTGCACCACTTTTAAATGCATCTGCTATTTTCTCATTGTTTCTCCCCCAATGCTTCGATAAATTCTAGAAAATGGCCCTTATAAATAGAATTTTCCCCCTCATTATGTGCCCTAAACGCAATTCCACCTCTGACAAGAAACTTGACTGCTTCAAGTGATGCTTTTACACGAACAAGATAATCAGCTTCTGCTTTTGTACTATGCTTTACAAACGAAGACTCAATACTTTGATTTTTCTTCATAAGATTCGCACATGCTTTGACACAATTTCTATGATGACTATTGAGTTCACCAACATGTGTATTCAACTTGTTTTTTAGATTCCAACATCTAAAACCTTCAATCACAAATGCAGAATTACTTGTACCATTTAGCACAAATAACATGGCAAACAAAACACAGCTTCTTTTTCTATACTATATTCCAACCAGTCATTGTCTTTATACCAACTATTATTAAAAGAAAGATTCCTTTTCCCAATTTTTCTAGGAGGATAATCTGTCATATTGGGTCTTGTAGGTCCATTTACAAGATAAGCTCTTCTCACCTCATCTTGATCATTTGGATGATAATTAAGAATTGGAGTTCTTTTGCAAGGATCCAACTCCAAATATTCCCCCTTTTTGAATACCTTAAATGAAGATGGTGGATCACTTGATGAAGGAGTAGAAGAAGGTTCTCCGGATGGTCCCTCAGTTGTAGAAAGAATTGGAGAGGCTTCAATTGTTGATTCATTTTCGATAGTAGAATTATTAGACTCCGAAAATCGAGGGATAGGCGTAAAGAACTTGAACAACATACTGTAAAATAAATGAAATAAAATCAATTAAACAATTTGATTGATGGTGCACAAATTATCTGAAAAATCATAAAAATTGAAATTCAAAGTCTAATTACCTCTAATCGACTTCTAAAGTTTCAACAACAGACTTGACTTCTCGCTGAAATTCGCTGACCACCACCTAAGACAATAGCCGTAAACCACCGAATCGGCTGTCAATTAACAATTTTACCTCTTTATCAATTGAAACCCTAGCTCCCCTTTCCTTTGATTTGCTTTTAATTTCTCGGGATTCCCTTAATTGAATTCGAAAATCCACTGAATTATATGTTGTCTTCCACAAATTCCAGAAGATAGGAATAATTTTGGGAAAATAAAAGAGAGGGTTTTGGAGAAAAAAAAAGTTTTGGAGGAAAAAAAAAGTGTTGGGGAAGGTGCTGACTACTGATCGTGGTAAGAAGAACTTTTGAGGAAAAAAAAAAAAAAAAAACTGATTTGGGATTGGGAGGGCACGAAAATTAAAAAGTCAGCAAAAAATAGCTTTCTTTTCCTAGGGGTCGAACCCTTGACCTCAAGGTAAAAATTGGACTACTTTACCACTGAGGTATCCAATATTATATTTATATAAATAATTTTTGTTTTATATTTAAGGTGGTCCATGGCATACATGGCCACCCCCTAGATCCGCCCCTGGTATAGGGTGTAAGCCAAATCAATCTTAACAGCCATGTCGATATCACGTGTGCCACATGTGACATTCTGTTGGGCTAAGTACCTAACATGCAAGTGCACGTATCGCAAACAAGTAGTAAAAATGGACTCGTGAGAGTCGGATGTCGATCCCACAGGGAATACTCAAATTATCTAATCCTAAGTACAAATTCTAACAACTATGATTCTTATCCAGCCTACGCAAGTTTGTCAAATTAAATCAATTAAACAATTAAACAAATTATGAAAGCAAATAAACACGAGAAAATATCAATAGAAACGGACCTAGGATTTTATCTTCCCCCTATGCAAGAATTGCTCACCCAAAACCCCTCAATTATGAAATATATGATTCCTGATTATTAACCCGAGACACTAATTTACTCATAACCCGCTGTCGCGTGTATTATGAGTCTATTATTCATAAACGGTTCACTATATGTCCATGCAAACCAATTATAAATAAAGCATTAACTAACAAGTCTCGTAAATGGCTACCTAAGGTGATATCTGTATGTCTACGACACCACATGCAATTGACACACTCATCCGGTGAAAACTACTCGAAGGTCTTCTACTTACAGTCTAATTATCAAAATAGCTCTGTCGAGTCAATCCCAATAATCACAGATAAAGCACATAAATTGATCAAGTTCATGTACTAACAATCATAACAAGTAGAAGAAATAATCATAAAATCATAATTGCATAATCTCAAGAAAACGGGTTCACCATCCCTACGTAGGGTTCCAACAAAATCCTAGATTAAAAACTTAGCTACTCATGTTTCTCTACGAAAAACATAATAAAAATATAAGAAGACATAGATTAAAAAAAGATAGATGAAAGAAGAATTGTGATGAAGATTTGTCAATTCTCCGTATCCGTTTCTTCGTTCTCTCGCTCCTCTTCCTCTAAGATCGTGTTCCAAAAAAGTCCTTTAATTCGTGCTTGGTTTGCCCTTAAATAGATGCCCCAACTTGGTAGAAGAATTTAGGTTTCCTTGTGTGATTAAAAGTCCAAAATTGTCTCCATCGTGTTTTGGCACGACCGCGCGAAAATCAGTGTAATTCTCACACGGCCGCACGAGAATCGCCGAAACCTTCTGCCCTCATTTTGCAGTTGGCGCGGCCGCGCCAAAAATTGGCTAAATTTGGCACGGCCGCGCCGTCCAACTTTCAGCATATTTTTGTTTTCTTCCGTTTTTGCCCCTTTTTGACCTTTTTTGGCTCGTTTCGTCCTTGGAACTCCCAAATCGTCAAGTTGTACCTAAAATACAATAAACCACTCATTAAGCATCATTAAACAATAAAAGTATACAAAAATCCTCGTAAGAAAGTATACATTGAGTGTAAAATATACACTCAACACATTCCGTTTAACTTGACTGCCGAAGTTAACGGCCGAACACAAATTGTTAAAAAGTGTCAAGTTTGAGGATATATTTCGTGGATGCAAAAGTTTGAGGACAAAAATCATTTTAGTGGTATAGTTTATGGACATAAAATATAATTTTCCCTATTTTTTACTTTTGCATTTTAATTTTTGTAAGGAGGGCTTTTTCATTTTGAAAAAAAAAGAGAGAAACAAATCCAATATTTATGCAATTAATTTTTGTATTGCAACCTCCTATTTTGTGTACCTCTTGACATTCTTCGGTACTTTTTTTTTTTATTTTTTGAGAGTAAAAAAAAACTTCATTTATAAAGCCAATTCGGCAGAAATAATAGAACATATACTATCAGGTATACTAATATGTCATAAGTTTCATTTTTCGATAATCTTGCAATCTCGTGCGCCGCCTTATTGCCTTCCCGAGCAATATGGTGGGCTCTGAACACCGTTAGCGTAGAACCTATTCGGATAATATCACTAACAATCGTGCCGTGGTCTGCGTTTCAATTTGATTCTCCGACAGCGGCGATGACAACACTCGAGTCCCCTTCAAGTACAATCCTCTGCCAATTGTTATCTCGATACAGTTCAATCGCCATTAAAGCTGCTTTAGATTTAGCCGCGGTTGGTTCAAGATGTTGTGTAATGCATTTTGTATGCCAACCAACACACTCTCCGGACTCCGACCGAGCTATCACTCCAAGACCGCACACTCCATCGACGGCATTGACAGAGGCGTCAAAATTCAGCTTCACCAAATCTGCCTCTGGGGGTTGCCAACGAACTTCTTTCCTAATTCTCCTAATATTTGGAAACAATACTTCGGTTGTGGCCGTTTGGAGATCATTCCACATTTTGTTCATGAAGAATATAATTGTCCCCGGGTCTGGAACCTTCCTCTCGAACATACATTTGTTCCTTGCATTCCATATTGCCCAACATAACAATACACATCGATCAATAATCAATAGATTAGATTTACATTTTATCTTGCACAATCAGTCAGGGAATTCGGATATCGCCGTATGGTAGACCGAGGATGGGACCTGAGAAAGAGCCCATGCCTGACGAGATAATGGACATGCATAGAAACAGTGCATCACATTTTCTTCTCTCTCATTACAAAAGACACACCGATCATCATCCAAGACTCTTCGCTTAAGTAGGTTTGACCGGGTAGGTAATAGGTTTTTGCATGCCCGCCATAAAAATATCTTAACCTTATTCGGAATATGTAACCTCCATATCCATTTCCATTCTCCATGTCGTTGGGTATTTGAACTATTACTTACACTCGTCCCATCGATGTCAGCTTTAATTCTTGTTGCAAGATAGTAGGCACTGCGAACTGAAAAGACCCCATTCCGGTTGTAGTGCCAAATATAACGATCATCATTAGAATTACTGCCAAGGGGAATAGAGAGGATGGATTTGATATCTTCTTCGAAAAAAACTTCACGAATCAGTGTTGCATTCCGCTGCCCGGTATCTTCATCAATAAGCTCGTTAACGGATAAATCCCACGGAAAATCTCCTCTGGGGGTAAATATTTGAAATGTATTCTCTCGTGGTAGCCATCTATCTCCCCAAACCTTAATCGACTTACCGTTACCCCCGCGCCATCTGATGCCCGCCACAAATAATTCTTTGGAGCTCCATATGCTTCTCCATGTGTAGGAAGGGTTTGGACCCAGAGAAGCCCCTAGCACATTTTATGTTGGAAAATATCTGGCCTTGAGTAAATTACCCAAGAGGCTATTTGGATTTTCTAGAAACCTCCACAATTGTTTCACTAGAAGTGCCTCGTTGAATAATTCTAAATCTCTAAAACTCAGACCGCCTGTGTCTTTACTATCGCACATAGTCTTCCATTTAATCCAGTGGACTCCTTTTCCTTTAGAATCCTCCCACCAATATTTAGCCATATGGCTCTCCACTTCCTTGCAAAAATAGTCGGGTAATCTGAAGCAGCTCATAGCAAACGATGGAATAGCTTGAATAACTGATTTTAACAAGATTTCTTTACCTCCCCTCGAGATCCATTGTTCATTCCAACCCTTTAGACGCGAGATAACTCTGTCCCGAATGTTGGCAAATACCTCTCGCTTGGATTTGCCGATAATAGATGGTAAACCGAGGTATTTACCATGTTTCTCCACTATCTCCATGGGAAGAATAACACTGACCATCTCTACCACCTGTCTCCGTGTACTTTTGCTAAAGGCAATACTCGATTTCTGAAAATTAACAACTTGCCCCGACGCTACTTCATAAGTCTTGAGAACCCGTTTGACGCTCTCAGCTGATTGAGTACTTGCTCTGCAGAAGATCATTGTATGATCAACAAAAAGTAGATATGAGACCTTAGGAGCTCCTTGGCACACTGAAAGACACTGGAGATTTCCTCTACTTTCCTCTCGGCGGAATAAAGCACTCAATGCCTCGGCAGAAAAAAAGGAACAGATATGGTGAGAGAGGATCTCCTTGCCGTAACCCCCTACCCGGTATAAGAGAGCCAAAGGCGCTACCATTAAGAACAAATGAGTAAGTCACTGTGGACACACACTTCATGATAAGCTCGACTACTCGAACATCAAGCCCCAACTTTAGCATCACATTTGGTAGGAATTTCCACTCTATACGGTCGTAGGCCTTACTCATGTCGAGTTTTATCGCCATATGTTCTCCCTTGCTACACTTCATATAGTGAGTGACTTCGTAGGCTATAAGGATATTGTCGGTAATTAGCCGCGATGGGACGAAGGCAGATTGAGAATCTGAGATTATTCGGTACATGAAAGGTTTCAATCGATTGATAATTGCCTTAGATGTAATTTTGTACACGACATTGCATAGGCTAATCGGGCGGAAATGAGCCATAGTTTCTGGTTTAGAGCACTTGGGAATAAGAACAATCTGCGTGAAATTACCCGTTGAGGGGAATTCTTTATGGTTCAGCAGCCTCAAAACCCATTTGGTGACGTCATTCCGTACAATTCTCCAGAATCTTTGGTAGAAGATAACGGGAAATCCGTCAGGGTCTGGGGATTTTAATGGGTGCATACCTTCTAGAGCTCTGTTAATCTCCTCTGCCGTATAATCCCTAGACATTCTTCGGTACTTAGTGTTGAGTTCACCAACATATGTCCAAAATGGAACTTACCTAAATTCAATTATATGGGAAATTTAGAGTTTTCATCCCTCAAGTTTGCAATAATTTCACATTTGGTCCCTCATGTTCACAAAAAATACGTTTAGTCTCTCATGTTTCAGTAATTTCACACTTTTTGTCATTTCCGTCAATTCACCGTTAGTCCGTCAGCTACGGTAGTGATAGGCACACGTTTGATTCTGCTAGTTTTAACAGAAAATTGACGGAAATTACCAAAAATTTTGAATTTTTGAAACATGAGGGACAACATGTGTTTTTGTGAACAATGATGATCAAATGTGAAATCGGTGTAAACTTGAGGAATGAAAGTTGTATTTTTCCCCAGTTATATCTTATACTTTCTTTTCATTAAATTTTGGTTATAAAAAATGAAACTGGAAGCACCAGAAATTCTGATAAGTAGTTGAGGAATTGTATTAGATACTTGGAGTCATTTTTTTGTGACCGGTGCTCGAAATTTTTTTGTGACCGGTGCTCGAATTGAAAAAAAATTCGTTCCTTTGATATTTGAAAAAAATAATAATAATGTTTACTTAGATTTCCAATTTACTGTATTGTCATTTAATATGCATATCTAAATGAAGTTTTTATTTGATCGTGCAAAATGATATAGAACAAAATGGAAAAATATTTACATTTTCCTACCTTTTTTTTCTTTTTGTTTTTTTAATATTGCGATTGAAGACCTCTTCCTTTTTGAGAGAAAAAACAAAAGTGATGGGAAGTTTGGTGATTTTTCATTCCTCAAGTTTGCATTGATTTCATATTTGGTCCCCTCGTGTTCATAAAAAACATATTTGGTTCTTCATGTTTCAAAATTTCGACTTAGTCATTTCCATCAATTTTCCGTTAAAACTAACAGAATCAAGCGGTTGCCCATCACTGTCTTAACTGACGGACCAACGGTAAATTAACGAAAATGACCAAAAGTGTTAAATGATTGAAATATGAGGGACCAAATGTATTTTTTATGAACATAAGGGACCAAATTTCAAATCTATGCAAACTTGAAGGATGAAAAATGTATTTTTTCTACAGAAAAAATAAGAAAAGGGAAATTGCAAAGAAAAAGCATAGCCTGAAGAAATAGTAAATGACTATATGTATCATTACTCAAAAAAAAGAAATTGAAGAGCATCATAACAAATTAAACAAAGCTATTTGTGAGTCAGTTACGATGAAAGTTTAGGGAAATCAATATGAACGAATTGACGAGGTTTAAGACCGAAATACCTTTTTGGGGGCGAATTTGGGTAAGTTAAACAATTTTAGGACAAGTATAATAAGTTAATTTTTTTTTTGGGATACATGCCAAACACCCTTCATTCGGATTTTAATTCTTGATAAATCCTTTATTTATAAATGATATTTGAGATAAACCCAATGGGCCTGAAAAACCATATATGCCCCCACTAATTATTAATTAGTATAATTATTTAATTTTAAAAAAATTATACCCATAATCTATAATTAAATCTTCTCCAAAAATTATTCTCCTCATCACGCCAATTGTTTTTTTCCTTTTCTTTTTTATTTTGTTTAATGGTTTTCTTTATTTTTATTTAAAAGAAAATTTTGTAATTATTTTATTTTATTTTTTTTATATTTTCGGTTTTTTGTTTTAAATTATTTTTTTTCTTATTTATACTTTTCATGTTTTTTTATTTTAATTTAAAAAAAATGGTTTTATTTTAATTTTTAAAAATGGTTTTTTTTTAATTTTCTTTCCAGTTTTTTTAAATAAAAACTACTCTATATAAACATGAAAATCACTCTGTATAAACAGCTATATAAACATGAAAACCACTCTGTATAACAACTATATAACATGAAAACCACTATGTATAACAACTATGTGAACTTGAAAACCACTATGTATAACAACTATATCAACATAAAAACCACTCTGTATATACAGTTATATAAAAATCTGTACAAAAATTACTGAAAACCACTATAATTTTTGTACAGATTTTTATAGTGGTTTGTGTAAAATATTGAAAACCACTATAAAAATTTGTACATAATTATTGAAAACCACTATAAAAATTCTGTAAATAATTATTGAAACCAACTCCACCTTTCCAGTCATTAGTTTCTGCTTTGACGCTAACGCAGCTCGTATTGCTCAATCGATCCAACGCAACCCTTTGGAAAAACTTTCGTAATCCCATGGACACGACTGTGATTGGCCAAGAGCTCCGTGCAGAAATGGTACTAATGACTTCACTCTCACGACAAAAGGGCAGACCGAGAACCGGAGAATCTGAGATCGCGTGGCGGCGTCCTTGACCTGCACATAAGACGTCTCCGCCGCATCGATGGGGGAGGATCCTTTGCCACGGCGCGGAGTGACCGCCGGTTTTCTACAATAGTAATGCTACTAAATCGGAATTAAATATGCAGGCTTTCCGGCAAAGCCTCCGAGAAGTTGGATTTGGTCACTTGCTTCAAAATAAATGCTGACATCATATTAACTCCGATCCCATCTGATGCATCCGATTTCCACGCCATATCCTACTATACGACATAAAGTACAAAATAACATCATATTAAGATCACATATATAAACTCAGAGCATGAAGAATGAAGCAAATGTTTCTATAATTTTGCATCAGCTGTAAAAAGCCATCTACAATGTTCAACTTCTGACCAACAACAAAAAATCGAACAACCTCAATT